CCATGGTCTCATTGCATTATTCTCTCACCTATAAAGCATGATGTTTGAAACTTCAAAATTAAGTAATTTTATGCACACTCCGAAACAGTGGGAAGGTATGTTTCTCTTTTCTCACTTGAAAAGGTGAATTACTCAATAGTCAGTTATGAAAGAGTCCTATATTGATTTTGTAATTCACAAATAAGAAATCTCTTCCAGTGAAGGGTGGTAAATGCCAGACTTGGCTCGGCGTGAAGGCTCTTAAAGTCAGCGGTGCAGTGACGTGGCTGGGAGGGAGGGATGTGCTCATGGGCCGCCTGCTTGGTCCACAGTGCTTGTCGACCTTCCCAAATGCAGTGTCCACACTGTGCCGGCTCAGAAGAGGGCCAGCATATGACCCTCAAGATGGCTGTGGGGCTTAGCAACCCATGTGTGTCACTGGGGTAGCTGCCCCACCCCCGAGAGACGCTGAGCATGAAGAGTGGAAATTGGTGCAACCTAACTTGTTCTGCTGGGGTCCTTCCGTGCATGATGTGAAGAGCACTTTTCCCATTTTCACTTCCTCCTGAGTTACCTGCACCCCTGCCAGACCCCATGTTCACCTTCCAGTCTTTCTGTCTCAGCTTCTGCACACACAGGTCCCCTGCCTGCATCCTGTTCCTCAAGTCTCATTTCTGCCTGCTGAAATCTAACTCTTGTCTTCAAGCCCAAATTAGATGCTGTCCTCAGAACTGATCTTAGACTGTATTGTTTTATCTCTATCATAAAACTTCACTCCTTCACCTTTAAACACTTATAGTTAATTTTCTGGGTTTGTTTTCCCCTCTGTTTGTATTTTAAGAGTCTTCATGTGAGGCACCCCGCCTACTTACCTCTTCTCAGCCACGCAGACTGTATCACAATGTTTCAACAGACTAGTTATGTAATGCATATCTGGTGGATTTAAATAACTACGAATCAAGTCATCAAGCCTTGTGTTAGTCAGCTTTCCACCACTCTAACAGAATACCTCCAATAATCAACTTAAAAAGATGAAAGGTTCATTGTGGCTGACAGTCAGAGAGGACTCAGTCCATGGTCAGTTTGCCCATTGCAATTGGGATTAAGGTAGCGTGTTATGACAGGAACGTATGGTGGAGAAAACCATCACCTCTGGCCAGGAGCATCCCCTTTACAGGCATGTCCCTGAGACCCGAAGCCTCCTGCTGGACTGTGTCCTTTAAAGTTCCCACCACTCCCAATAGCACCACACTGAGACATAAATGCTTAACACACAGCCTTCGGTGGACCTTCTAGAGCCAAATGTCAGCACTTACTCTTAGGGATGACAAACTAGAGAACCGATTTCAGTACTCTGAGGAGCTCTCTAAGGGAACCTAAAGCTCCCGTGGCTCCCTCACCTCCTTTGCCCTTCATCATCTTCCTTTATTCAGTTCAAGGCAGAAGAGGGTTATTGCACTAGGTCTCCAGGGACCACGGTCCAGGTGACACAGCTTTCCTCTTTCTAGAAAGTTTCTCTTGCCTTCTCAGGATTTCAGTGAAAAGTTGTCCCTGTGATCTGCTTACTGGGGGAGAGTCCTGGCAGGGGTCTCCTTTCCCTCCTACTGGCCAGTGGGGAGAGGGGAAGCCCTCTCTCCCTGGAGGGGCAACTGTGCTTTCTCAGCACAGCTGGTTCTGGGTTGCTGCTACGGCACAGAAGCCGGGTCTGGGAGCAATGCTCAGATGAGAGCCTCGGTTTCTATGAGCCCTGCTGTAAATTTTGGGAGAAACTCACCATAGCTCACTAACTGCTGCCTCAAGTGTAGACACAAAGACATAAATGTATGCTCCCTAAGAGCTCGCTGGAGAATTTACTGCAGTCTGCAGTCCAGTTCCTAACTTGTAATAAAACGTCCCTTTCCCCTGCTCTTTGCTTAGTGTGTATATTGTACTGGAAGCCCTTCCACAGAAAGTGGGCTGATCTATGACACGTTGGTGTCTGAGACCTGTTCCATAGTCATGAATCTTAATATCGATAAATCACTACCACTATGTTCAGTTTTGAAATAATGTACCCAAGACAGAATCTACTGCAGTTTGGGTGAGTACTCTATTGGGCAGTCAGAATTCATATCTACGTAAAAATAAAGAAAAATCCTTTGCAATATATGAAGACCTATAATATATCACTGCATATATTCTCCATAATAGTAGGTATCTCATCTCCACTCTAAGGCTTTTCTGATCTACTTTGCTTCCTTCAAAATAACTCAATTTTGTAGCTATGTTGAGCCCTTTTTTGTGCCTTTAGCACTCATGTTTATGTCCTAACTCAACTCCAATCTGTGTCAGTGTTATTTTCTTTTCTAAAGCAGCCTCCACCACTTCCTAGCTGGGTGAACTCTGCTGTCTGTCTCGCCTCAGCTCTGGTGGGAAGATGATCTCTCCACACTTCCTCCCTCACACCCTGCCAGTAACCCCCATCCACCCCGCATGCACGAGCAAACACACACCTTCCTCTTGTGCACACACTCATCACATGATTTAAGGCACTCTACTGGCTTTTATTTTGCTGCATTCTGAAGTCCTAGTCAAAGATCAGGTCCACGTAAGTCTACCGGGTCTTCTAAAATCACAGTGCTGTGTCTTACAATGTGCTCAGTGTGTAAAAGCATGTCATGTAATGTGTGTTTATTGGGTCATGCGTGGGTCTGCATCCTGTGGGGAGGAGCCCAGAGGTGGGGATGAGATGGGAGAGGAAAGCAGGAAAGCAGATAGCCCTAAAGGAGTGGCAGGTGGAGGCAGCAGAAGACTGAACAGATCGAATGCATGCTGAGGAGCTTGGCAGCTGGGTTGAAGAATTAAGGTTTAAAGAAATGAGCACTAGAAGTTCATGATTTGAGGATTTGAATCAACTATCAGTGAAGTGAATGAGTTGATGGAAAACCTAAAATTGCAAGTAGTGGGACTACATGAAAAGGAAGAAAATGAAAGTTAAAAGGAAAAAACCAAATAACTTGTTGATGCTGTTATTTGGAAAGTTGCATTATGTACATTAATTGTTGATCTATAAAGACTTCATAGTATATTTAAAATAGGCCCATTATACCTGAAGCTAAAGTGACTTTTGCTTTGTGAGGCTGTTACCAGTTCTTCTATCACTGCCCAGATGCTGGTGTAATGATTTGTTGATATGTAACCATTATACCTGTGCATTGTTTTGAAGAATTTTGGAAAGATCTGTATTCTTGGTAAGGTTATAAAAATAAATGGACTGATTCATACTCTTTAACATAGGGCTCAGCTAATTAAAAACTATTCATTACCAATATAAAGTACAACTAACTATAAATTTTAAATTTGTAAAAGATAACATTTTGAAACTAACTGATAATTATCTGAACCTATCAATTTGTGATTTTTAGGGTTTTCATAGCTACTTATACTTTTTTTCTTCTTGCATTACTGGGGACTGGGGCATTCATACTAGATAAGCACTCTACCCCCAAAGGCCTCCAGTCTTGCTATTTATAATTGATTGGTTAAGTCCCATTTATGAATTAAAGAATTAACTCTTTACCTTATAGACAAAGGTTATTTACAAAGCATCGAAATATTTTTGAATATAGATAGATAGGTAGATATTTACATGTACAAATACTTAATATACTTCAGAATATGCATCCATGTTTTTTTATTGAAATCTTATGGGTAGATGACAGTAGTATTAACTCTAACTTTCCAGCTCTTTACTGATATATCTCTCCTTTGATTATATTTATTAGAAATTTCTGAGTTCACTTTGTTTTTCCACATTATAAAAGAAACTGAAAGTTTATTCCCTCTGTTTTCTTTTATGTTTAGATTTGTGTCTTCTTTTTATGTTGATTCTGCAAATCTGTATTTAAAGTGAGACTCTGGATAATCAGGTCAAAAACCATGTGTGAGTGTCTCTTTGACCAGTGATGGGCTTTGTCACTGTGATACAGGCTTTTATTTAAGACATCTGCAAGTGTGGAGAGCTGGATAGTTTTCTGGGAACTGTCTGTGTTTTCCGAAAGATGCAGGTCCAGCTACTGGTGCACTCTGGACAGGAGTGATGGCAGGCTTGGGGGACAGACCACTAGCTAAAGCCACAGAGTTCTGTCTGGAACTGTGGCCGCCCCTGTGTCTGCCCTGCCAGGAGCCAAACTCTGTAGTGTAAACAGATCTGAGAACAGGCCCTTCTTACCCGTGTGTAAACAGGAGCAAGGATTTGGTCTGCCCTTTCTGTAAAACCTGCTTCCAGTGTTATTTATTAGACATTGGTTCTTCTTAGCTACCTTGTTAACTGTTTTATATATATAATAGTACATACATAAAATATAGATGTTATATATAAAGCATTATATATAGAATAATGTTACTCATATATAATATTGTGTTTTACATATAGAATATTATGAATGCTCCGTGTGACAACCTGTATGACAAATTCACAGAGGTCAGGTGACTTGGTCACCAGCACAGCCAGCAATGGCAAAGGCAAAGCTGAGACATCGGTAGGGTTTGGGCTGACTCAAAAACTCCATTTTGCATAATCTCTATCCATTTTTAGGGTTATTTAAGATTTAAGATTTGAAGAAAACACATTATAATGAGAACTGCTTCTCCTGGATGCTTTCTTGTTGGTTTCTTTTGGAGGGATGATTTTTTAAATTAAGAAGATCTTGCTTACATGGTAGACTTTGAGTAAGTTGACACCTTTGATTCATAAATTAATCACACCACACTGTCTGTGTTGAAACTCACTTGAACTCCATGAGGAAAGTTGCAGGTTCTTCATTTGCAGAACAGGAAATGAAGATTCATCACATCAGGCACAGTTAGTGACAGGGGTTGAAATGGGTTTTAAAAGTTTGGTCCAGGCATTCCGACTCTACACCATGCATTATTTTTATGATACTACATCCCCAAATCCTTACTGTTTAAGATTAAGTGTCTTTTAAAAATGAATTAAGAGATTTACTTAAATTCTCTTACTCTTACTTAAATTCTTTCAGGTTTCTGCCATTTTCGTCTCACCATAAAAAAGAAGAGTACATTCCATCAGTGTTCTCCACAAGCAAGTATGATCCCAGTTCCTGCAGAAAACAAGACTTCCGGAGTGAAAACCCTCAGAAATGGATCTGCGACAAGGTGAGCTAGGAAAACCTTGAAATGGGAGCTCCTTTCCAAAGGTAAAAATAACCACTGATTATGGTGATATGAATATTCTCATTATAATTAAGGCTTTCCTGGTTACAAAATTATTTATAGCGATTTTATTAGAGATGATGCCAATGGATTTTAAGTAACCTGTGTTAATGAGAGACTTAAATTACTTTTCCATTGTTGTTGCTCATGTATCCGTGACTGGGGCACAGACCTTGACTCTGACATGTGATCAGGGTGACACTGCTTAAGTGTGAAGAGAATGGAGATGACTCTCAGGCCTGGAGACCAGCATTTGCCTATACACTTTCAGTGTCTGTGTGTGTGTGTGCACATGGCTTTGTGTTACCTGAAATAAAGCCATCTGGATCTCATGTTTATGTGGAACCTAAAAAGGTCAAACACAGAAGGACAGAGTAAACTGGTGGTTGCAGGGAGCTAGAGTAAGAAGCAGAGTAGAGGGTCTCTGCAAAGGTTTTACTCGGGCTTCCCGGAAGGAGTGGCCCTGACCTGTAGACCTGGACAGGGTCATCCTACCCTCGGGATGCAGGAGAGGCAGCCTTGCACTTCGAAACCAAGGAGGAAACAGTTTCACCTTCTGCATCTGCGGCAGAAGTGGCAGCCCCGAGCACCTCCAAATTGGCGGTGGGGCACTCTTGCCTTTGTTGAGTAGCGCTCCAATTGTACAGAAGTCTCCAAGACCACCTTCATTCCATCCGGAGTTTCAGTCCTTCGGTTCACATGGCCAGCACCTTCTTTGCTACAGTCCTGCCTCCATTTTTGGCTTCTGCAGAGATGGCCGATCAAGTCACTGAGTTGTATTCTTGACCTTTTTACTCCTTGTTAGTCAGAAATGTTAGTGGGCATGGAGAGTGAGCTGAGGAGTGAGGTACTGTTTCTCCCATGTTGCACATTCCCTTAGCATGGGTTTTTGTTCTGACCTCAATGTCAATCACAAGTTTTTTTGAGATCTCATTTAAACTCAGTTATTTCCTTGGAGGCCCCGTCTCCCACAAAGTCACACAGCACCTACATTTTCAGAGTGGAAACTCTGGTGATCCCAGCTCCACCCTGACTATGTGGCGTACCTATGCGTATGCAGCACAATAAACGTGTGTTGCATGTGTGCACATGTAGGTATGTGGTGTGATTTTACCTCCGTGCTGTGCACACTGATGAGGAGAAGTTGGCGTTCAAACCCAGAAGGAAACCATATCACTGGCCAAGGACCTCCTAAGACAGATTATTTTTTCTAAAAACATCTGTTGCAATCCAAGTTTCACTGTTATAGTCTTCCAAATCCTTCCATTCATTTTGTAATGCTTATAACTACACTTTTGAAATTTACTTTTTTGGGGCTTGAATTAAAAATTTCAATAGGCCTGGGATGAGTCCCTGAGCCAAGCAGTGAATGTGAATGCTTCTTAGGGTTCATCCTAAGAATTAAGAAGGGCTTTAGAGTGAGAACACTGGTCAGAAAACAAGGAAGGAAGCAAATTAATATTTCTTGTCTGACTTCAGAATATTCTGAACCTCTGAATTTAAAAAAATCTGAAAAAAAAAAACAATGATACAAAATTTCAAAACCAGATTGTAGAAGAAAAAACAAATCTGAATTTGTAAAACACCAAGATGCCATACAATAGGAAGTGGAAAAGGGAAAATTCTTGCAGTTAAAATTCATAGCTTATTTATAGCAAAAATGTCCACAGATAGAGGAAAGGAGTAAGTAACTTTCTGGTGGGCTTAGGGCTTCTGAGCTTCAACTCTGCCTGTGCTGGTGGCTGTGTTAATCTTTGGTCGATGAAGATTCGCTGAGTTGCATGTTACTTTCCAGAAAGCATTTTAGGAGCAGTATTAAAAGTCAAATACAAAGGAAGTCATGATGCAAAAAGTAAAAATAAAGGAAAATTACCTTAGATCAGAAGAGCTTATACGCACACACTAATAGAGGTGAACCATTAATGTGAAGGTCTTTAGGACTTTCAGCCTTTGCCTCACCAGGACAAAGAGAAAAGCACAAATCACAGTGCCCAGCTCGTTACTCAGGGGAAGAAGCTTATGAGACCCAAAAGCAAAATGAGACCATTTTTCTATAGAAAATGGTGAAAATGTCAGATTGCAATGTGCTTAGGGTAGGGGGAACACTTTAGAATAGGATCTTTCTTTTATAGCTACCAACCCACTTTTTAAAAATGTCTTCTAAACCACTAGCCAGTTCATGGCAAAAGGAATATATACAGTGAGTATTTTGATTCCGTTCACCCTTGCAACTGATAAAGAAGCCTAAAGATTGCTGATAATTTTATTTTTTAAAAAAATCCATAAATTGGTCTATGTTGACATTAAACTAATGTGTAACTATTCAGAATATAAACTAAACATGATTTTTAGCTACTTGTTTAATTTCGTATGTTAGTTGATGTATTGTAATCTGTGTCTCATTTTATGCTGGTCTTAAATGTTTTTGCTTTGATGTCTTCTCACCATTATATTTAATTCAAAGAACTATTCCTTCCTTTAAAATTTAAATGACTTATAAAATTAACTTCCTTCATAATAAGAAATGTCCTTTTACAAAATGCTTGTTTTCTAAAATGATATGAAAATTCACTTTATTGTAATAGATATTACTTATACATTTGATATATTCTAAGAACATGCATTTAACCTAGCTGAGGTAAACAACTCTATGGAAATATAGAAACATTTGGCAACATGCTAAAAGGACAAAATAGTTTATTTTCTTGGTTTGGAGGAATCACTATTCATCAGTGCATACTTTCAAGAAAGCCCACTTAAGAAAAATAATTATAAATAATTGTAGACTGTTAGCAATTGAAAACTGAAATGCTCTGAAAATTAAGACAAAGATTTTTTAAAATTGTAATAAATTATTGGCCTCTTCAACCCTATCAACTCTGTAGAAAATGCTAAATATGAGTTCATATATCTCCCATCCTCCAAACTTTCTTCTACCTTTTCTCTCTCTTCCTTCTTTCTGTTTCCCATGTTCTTATCTCTTAAAAAACATATTAAATAAACAAATTATCCTTCTGTGTGGCTAAATGTAATCTACACAGTATTGAAGTCATTTCAGGACTGAGGATATAGCTCAGTGGCATCAGCGCCTGCCTGGCAAGTGCAAGGTCCAGAGTTCAATTCCTGGTGCCAAAAATGAAAAGAAGAAGAAGTCATTTCATTGGTTATGGGTAATATTTTGGGATTATTACAGGAATATGTATTTTGATGTAACTGACACCAGGTGACTTGAGTGAGATGGATACCCAGTAAGGTTGCTAAAAGCAGGCTTGTTCTTCTTTTTATGAAATCTTACTTTTTAATCTTGGAAAGTAGAGACCATCATTTATTTATTATTAGTGGATTAGTGACAGTCTCAGGAAGACCTGAGCTGTGAAGCTGAGCCACTGAAGGAAGGAAGGACTGTGTGGAATCATGGCACCTCTCTCTGGGACAGAGACTTTATCTGCCCTGAAACACGTGTAGATTTAGCCGAGTGCCCTAGATTGATTTCAGATGAGAAATGGCTCCATTTAATATATTTCTCACTCCCATTCTCTAAATTTTCTGTTATGTTTGAAAAGTGTTTACATGAAGAATTTACTTTCTTATCACCTCTAAACATGGAAGTTACAGTTTTCAGAATATCTGTTAACCAATTATGTTAAAAGATATCCATTGGGAGAAAATAGGAATTCAGTGCCCTTCCTCTAATCACATTCACAGTAAACAAATAAATATTTAATTTTTATTTTATTTTTAATGTCATTTATCTGGAGTGCTGTGCAAAGAAATCAGAAAAACAAAAGTGAGAATGAGTGGTGTTTTTTGTTGAAATTATGCAAATCAATGACAACAAATATATCCTTTTTCTTTTATAAAGCAGAAATTAGTAATAAACCTGTGTTCATGTTTTGAGCCATATTTCTTTGACCTACCTGCAAACTTCCCCAACTAAATTGTTTGATTCTAAGCCTTTGTTTTAAATGGTCAAACTTTTAAGTTCAGGTTAAAACTCTGTATTGATAAAATCTTTATTGCACTGACCTCAATATGGAAAACAGAAGTGAAATGGAGTAAGAAAAGCTTCCCAGTCAGTCACAATTAGTTTAATCTATTTGAGCAGTCTAAGAGAGTTGGACAGTAAAAAATTCAGTGTACTAAAAACATCCTTTGGGTTGTGAAAACATTCACATATGTTCATGTTTACTGGAGCGGAAATGAGAGTCTCGGGCCCTTCTCTGAATTGGAATTAGTTTCCATACGCACCGCAGACAGCTGATGTTAGCGGGCCCATTTCACGTGTTTCCTTGTTTACCCGATGCAGCGGCCTCTCAGGATGGAGCCTTTCCACCGCTGGCCTCCCTCACCTGCCTTATTATCGGTGAATTACAGCCGTCCAGCAGGCCTCTCCCATTACTTTCACGTGTTTGGTCTCTAAACAGGATTTCATAAGCTACAAAGCATAAAAATATCCAGGGCTCCAAAGAATTCGTTTAGAGAACCTAAGCATATTGCACAGAACATAAAGCTGACCTTTACTGTCCACGGCTCCTGGAATGGGGTGGGCTGTGGAACACATCGTAGATTTAATGTGGCACAGCGTGGTGTGCAGAAACTTGGGTGGCACCGCGTCGGCTGCCCACTGCACCCGGTGATTGAATCTGCTGTCACCAGCATCCTGATAGTAATGAACATTCAGCTTAACGACCGTGATTATGATTATCATAATTGATGTGCAAGCGCAGTGTGTGGGGCTCAGCACAGCTGAACTGTGTGGTGGAGAGACAGGCCGCGGCTCTGGGTAATTCCGCTTTCATGCATTGATTGGGATAAAATACGCCTTTCTATTTAAACAGACCCGCTTCGTGTGATTTTAAGAATCTTTCCGTACGTGGTGATTGATGAGCACGCACTTGCTGAAAAACAGCCCCTTACAGTTGTTTGTTTTTTCTTGTCTCATT